CGCTGTCTGTGTCTCTGCCTGGGCCCAAGTCCAGCTAAGTGATGGGGGCATCTGGCTGTCGAAAGAACAGGGGCTTCTCAGACATCGGCTCCCATAGGTTGGGCGGCTGGGAGGGTGTGTTTTTCTGAAGTCAACAGGGTTGCTTTTTTGAGTTGAGGGAGAGGCCGTTCCTCTTTTTGTGCATCCACGGGCTCAGACTAGGGAAACTTGGCCATTTCTAATCCTCCTTGCTGCAGAGAAGGCCACAGGCCCACCTGCGTCAAAGACTAAGATAGCTCCTCTCTTTACCGGAGATCGGAGGTCTGGGGAGGCTGTGTGTGTGTACTCATGTGTCTGTGTGTGCATGTGTGTGCATGTAGGAGGGTGCATCCATCTACCCACTGAGGATACTCTCCAAATACAGCCCCCAGCCCATATTCCCAAAAACTCACCCTCTCCCTGCCTTCCATCCCCACACTCAGAATCTCATCCCTCCCCTTCCCATCTCCTTTGCCTAAATCCACCTCCCCAGCTCCAAGGGTCTGTTTCTTCCTCTCCACTGTTCACCTTCCACACAGACATGCAACTGAGAACCATTTTCTGAGAACAAGGACTATCTCCCTTTCTTAAAAAGATTCAGCTGGGCTCCGTGGCTTAGCCTGTAATCCCGTGCTTTGGGAGGCTGAGGTGAGTGGATTGCCTGAGCCCGCGCGTTCGAGACCCACCTGGGCAACTTGGCGAGACATCATCTCTACAATAAATAAAAAAAATTAGCCGGGTGTGGTAGCGCACGCCTGTAGTTCCAGCTACTGGAAGACTGAGGCAGAAGGATTGCCGGAGCCCAGCAGGTCGAGGCTGCGGTGGCCGGGAGCCGTCACTGCACTCCAGTCTGGGTGACTGAGTGAGATTCCAACTCAAAAAAAAAAAAAAAAGATCCCTTGCCTGATTACCTTTGGGCCCACTGCCACATTTCTTTTGTTCTTTTGTATTCCATTCATTCTCCCAGTCTCAGTGGCAAGGAGGAGAACTATTTAAGGGGGATAGGGGAGGTTCTCCTGAAGGACCGGCTCAAAGGACAAGATGGATGTCGCCTGCCAGGGAACGACCAGTCTGGGCTGAGGGCAGCCGCCAGGGTGGGTGTGCAGGGGTGTTCATGGGCACAGAGCAAGGTCTGGTGGGAAGAGCTCTGGATGGGAGCCTGGGAACTGGGTTCCAGTTCTAGCCCTGCCAAGAGCTCCCGAGAGACCTCAGGGGAATTGTGTCCTTCTCTGAGGCGGGTTGACTCACCAGTACAATTGGTGGGAAGGCCAGACGCACTAATCTCTAAATTGCCCTCCAGCCTGATTTAGAAATTCTGTGGGAATGGAACTGGGCTAAAGAATTGAATTTGGTTTCCTGCGGTTGGCAACTTTTAAACAAAGATACCATTTCTCAAACATCTCCTAAGTGACTACCAACAGCACTCAAATGCAAGCTTTTCTAAGCATTTTATGTGTACTGGTCGATTTCCTCCACCCAGCCCCTCTGGGAGGTGGGTGTTGTTAATATCCCCATTGTACAGATTAGGAGACCCAACAAGAAGAGGCTCAGTAGCCAGCCCAAGTAGTGGCGCTAGGGTTCAAACCAGGCAGTCTGGCTGCAAAGTCTCTGTTCCTCACCACCACACACGGCATTCCAGGCACCGTGCTAAGTGTTTACCCAAATCCTCTCTGTTTTGCAGCTGAGAAATCTGAGACTCAGAGCAGTTGAGCAACAGCTGAAGGTCACACAGCTGGGAAGAAGCAAGCTGGGATTCAACGTGGGCAGGACTCCAGGGCCTCTGCTCTCCCCCACCCCACCCCACAACCCTGCCAGACCATGGGGCTCCTACAGCAAGTTTAACCAATATCCCTCCATTGCAGTTATCTCTTCGGGCAAGTTGGTCCCTCCCTCTGCGTCTCAGTTTCCCCATCTAGAAAATGAGTGGGGGTTGTCCCAACTGACCTTTGAGGCTCCTTGCAGCTCTGTGAGTCTATGATGTGAGAGGTGTGGTGCTTCTAGCCGAAAGGGCAGATTTGTGGCCTGGGAACGCCTTGGGCGTGGCCTGGGGTTGCAGCCAGGGAGGACGAGGGAGACCAGGGGCTGGCAACAGAATGAACAGGAAACTTAAGGGGACGGGAGAGAAGGCCCATGGGGCCCGTGGACCCCGGGAAGAAGGGGCAGTTATAAGAGGTAGACGAGAAAGAGGTAAGGAGAGAGACACACCCTGGGTGAGTCTCCTAGTGAGCCCTTTCCTTCTTCCCAGGGGTCACCCCAACGCAGGCTAAGTGTGTGAGAGCCTTGGGCTGGGGAGCGGGGGTCGGGCCAGCACCGAGCTGAGGTCAGAACTTCTGAGACACAGCAGTTTGGGGGAATTAACATTGCTGGGGGTTGTGTTTTCTCTGTAAATATTTGGAGACGTCCAGTTATTCTAGAAAAATGTATTTGCAGCCGGGGTGGCGTGTTTGTGTGGTTGGCCGGGCTTCCTTTTCCATGATTGCTCGGTTGCATTCCTTGCCTTCAGGAGCGGAGGCTGCCTTCCCATCTGCAGCCTCATTAGGCGTGCACACCAGCAGGCTCCACACGCACACACGCTCGGCCAGGTTCCCCTCGGGGACATGCACGCACACTGGCATGGCCCCCTGGCCACACGTGCACGCACACGGCCGCAGCTGCGCCTGTTAATATTTCATGCCAGTGCTGCAAATGCCGCTCCACGCTGACTGCGTCCGTGCCAGCCTCATTCCTCTCAGGGCGCCGATTCCCGGCTTGGGGGGCCAGCTGACACATCTTGTTAAAAACCTTCCAGCCCAGTGCCTGCCTCTGAGGAGGGTAACGTCACGTGGTTACGAGACAAGAGCACGGGCATCATCACCAGGAAGCTCCGTTTTCTGAGAGGCTCTTTTCACTTGGGGGAATTGATGGAATCACCTTCTGCGTGAGTGTCTCAGCCTCTCTCTTCCACCCCCCCCCCCCACCCACTCCACCCCCAGCCTAGAGCTGTTGCAGTGCTGGGCCCTTCAGGTAGCTAGCTACCCGTGCACCACAGGTTGGGCTGATCTGCTCTCTGGCTGGGAGAAGTCATGGTTCTGGGTGGGCACCAGGGCCTGCTGTGACATGGACACCTGACCCGCATGGGGGCAGTGTCTGTCCCTCTCTTCCCGCTCCTCCACTGCGGGTACCCACACTGCTGTGGTTTGAATGTTTGTGGCTCTCCAACATTCGTATGTTGGAGAGTAGACTCCAAGGTGATGATATTAGAAGCTGCAGCCTCTGGGAGGTGATTAGGTCACAAGGGCTTCACCCTCATGAACAAGGCTCCACCTGGGAAACAGAGAGAGCCCTCACCGGACACTGAACCTGCTGGCATCTTGATCTCGTACTGTCCCAGCCTCCCAGCCTCCGGAATCATGAAAAATACATTTCTATTGTTTAAAAAGTACCCAGGCTCTGGTATTTTGTTATAGCAGTGGTGAGAGTCCATGACATACACCATGGAGGCCATTGCTCCTACAGTGGTCAGTAGAAAGAGTCATGGATGGCCCCATCCTAGACCCCTAACTCAGTCATCATGGTCTCTGAGCCCAGGGAACAGCCTTCTCTCCAAACGCCAGTTTTAGAAGTCTGAGGCAAGGAGGGGAATGACAAAGGGCCAGAGGCTCTAGTTCCAGGCTGAGCTGGGACAGTATGCTACTTAGGATGGAGTGATGTCCCAGACACAGAGGTTGCCGGGGCATCTGGTTCTCCCCATAGCTTTGCTCAGACCGGTGTCTTTGGTTCACTGCTGGCCGCACAGGCTTGAGGCCCATCCCATGAGCTCTGGAAGGACGTCTGCAGGATGGACATCCTGTCCTCACCCTCCTCTTACCTCTTTCAGCTCTTTGGGCCTGTGTCACTGGAAGGACTCACAGCATAGCTGCATGGCTTTGTGGTTCTGAGCATCTACAAGACGAAGCCTGGGTGGGGTGGGGGAGGGGAGGAGGGCGGATTGCAAAAAACGAGAACACACTCATTTACCATTTACCAAATATTTTTCCCTTTTCTTTTAAAGCTGTTGTTTCCTCAAGGGAAAACTTTTATTTGTGTGTGTGAGTAAAATGTTGCTTTCCTAATGAATTGAAAGCAGAAGAGGAGACAGTTTTTCTGTCCCCGTGACAAAGAAGAAAGGAGCTTTTTGGCCTTGGGCAGCTGCCATTGTCACCCTTCCTGCCCTGCCCTTTCTCTCTGTCCTCTCCCGAGACCCCAGGGTACATCATCCCCACCCCAGAGCCCTGGCTGGGAGCCTGGCTTGGGTCAGGCTGAGGCTGCTGGCCTGGCCTGCAGGAAACACCACACGGTCCCCCATCGAGGGCCTGGGAGGGCAGTGCAGTGGGCGAGGGGACAACTGTGCTCGGTAGGGTGGCTTGGAGGCTGTTGTTTCTTGCTGGCTTGGAGGACAGTGGAAAAAGAGATGGAGGGATTCAGAGACACTTAGTCTGATCGGTTGACGTCCCCTTTCTTTGTCCAGCCAAGGAGTCCCCCCACCACCTCTGGTCTTGGAGACAAGGCTGGGTTTTCCAGAAGACCTGGCCTCAGCCCTGGAGTCCCTGGGACGGCCTCTTTCTGGGCCGGAAGAAGCTTCATTCTGAGGACTCGCCAGCCCACTTCCACTAATCCGGGCATTCCCCTACCTTGTCCCCTTCACTCCAGCAGGTGTGAGTGGTTTCTTTTTTTTTTTTTGAGTTGGAGTCTGCCCAGACTGGAGTGCAGCGGCACGCTCCTGGCCACTGCAGCCTCGACCTGCTGGGCTCCGGCGATCTTCTGCCTCAGCCTTCCAAGTAGCTGGAACTACAGGCGCGCACTACCACACCCGGCTAATTTTTTGATTTTATTGTAGAGATGAGGTCTCGCCAAGTTGCCCAGGCGGGTCTCGAACCCGCGGGCTCAGGCAATCTACTCACCTCAGCCTCCCAAAGAGCGGGATTACAGGCTGAGCCACCGAGCCCGGCTGTGAGTGGTTTCTTGACTTTCACTTTTGACTTTCGGTTTGGAGGACAACAGCCTTGGTTTGAAGCGCTCCCAGTTCTGGAGTTAGCTTATGGGCCATGTCTCTTTTCAACCTTGGTTGAGGTAGCTACAGTTGGGGTTAAGCTAGCTTCTGGGGCTCGGGCTTTCACTCTGAGGTCAGAGCGGCCTTTCCCTCAGCAGCTTTTTTCGGATGAGGGGGGTCCTGAGTCATTGCCTCCGCTCCCTGCCCCCGCCCCAGGGGTCCTGGGAGAGGTCCCCCTGGGCCAGGCGGAAGAGCCACCTACGGGGAGAAGGTGGTGGTGGTCTCGGCCTCCATGCTCATGGAGGAACGCCGGGCATGCCGGCAAGAAGACCACTGGCGGAGCTGCTCCTGACTGAGGCAGCCCAAGTCCTTGAAGAGCTTGAAGAGGTCGTTGCGGAACTTGACGCCGATAAAGGCGTACAGGAAGGGGTTGACGCAGCAGCGGACGCAGGCCAGGCTGTAGGTGACGTCGTAGGCGATGTTCAGCTGCTTGCTGAGCTCGCAGTTGCTGCTGGTGATGTTGAAGCTGGCCACTGTGTGGGCCAGGACCACCCCGTTGTAGGGCAGCTGGAAGACTATGAAGACCACGACCACGGCGATGATCACCTTGATGGCCTTGTTGCGCTCGAAGTTGCGCGCCTGGAGCAGCGTGCGGATGATGACCAGGTAGCAGAAGCTCATGGCCAGCAGGGGGACCAGAAAGCCTATCACCATCTGGGCCACCTGGATGGTGACCAGGGCCTCCATGTGCTCGGTGATGAGAAAGCATCGCAGGACCTGCTCGCTGCTGCTCTTTCGGACGCTGCTGTACAGCAGCTCTGGGGTGGACAGCACCGTGGCCAGTATCCAGATGCCCAGGCAGGACAGCTTGCTGATAAGGAGGACACGGGCACGGTGGCGGTGGGCCGAGACGGCCTGGACAATGGCCACATAGCGGTCGATGCTGATACAGAGGAGGAGGAACATGCCACTGAAGAAGCTCATCTTGTAGATGCCAAAAATGAGCTTGCAAAAATGGACGCCAAAGGCCCAGGACTTGGCCGCGCTGTAAGCCCAGAAGGGGAGGGCCAGGAGGGAGAGGATGTCCGCCACGGCCAGGTTGAGCAGGTAGGTGTCGGTCATGGTCTTGAGCCTCTTGAAATAGATGTAGGTCAACACAACCAGCCCGTTGCCTAGCAGGCCCACAAAGCAGATAACCGAGTACATGATGGGCAGGAACCAGGCCTTAAAGTTCCGCACATCTTTCATGATGCATGGGGGTTCGAACAGGGTGTAGTCCACCGTGGTGTTGTCCCCGGTGTAATCATCTGTGGCCTCGTCTTGACACAGGCACACCTGCGGGGAAAGAAACAGTAAAAAACAATTCGGTTTCGCTGTGTGGGTCCAAATCTGGCTGGGATTTAGCCTAGAGGGGTGGTTTTCCACATCATCAGCATCAGGACTTGTTAGAAATACAAATTCTTAGGACTCTCCTGAGACCTGCTGGACCAGCAGCTCAGGGAGTCTGTTTTTCTAAACCTTCCAAGTGATTTCTTTTTTTTTTTTTTTTTTTGGTTGGAATCTCACTCCACCCCCCGGACTGGATTGCAATGGCCGCTCCCGGCCACCGCATACTCCATCTGCTGGGCTACTAGGGTCCTGTGAACCCCCACATCAAAGTAAGAAACAATCCCTCCTTGGCCAAATTAGCCCGGATGATTTCTATAATAATGGGTATAATTTAGAGCCCTTTGCATGAACCAGATTTAAGAAACTAGTGACTTTAAGGCCAAAATGAGCCTATGTCTAGCCATTGGTTTAGAGGATATTTGATAGCTGAGGTTGTCAGTTGCAATATAAGTGTTGTTTCTGGAATAATTTCATTTCCGCCTTAATTGGAAATTTTATGCTACTACCCAAAGTAATCTGCATATTCAACATAATCCCTATCAAGATACCAATAACATTCTTCACAGAAATGAAAAAAAACCACCCTAAAAAACCCCTAAAATTTGTGTAGTGCCACAGAAGGTCCTAAAGCTAAAAAAAAATCCTGTGCAATGGCCAGGTATGGCGGCTCATGCCTGTAA